AGAGGTGGTGATCTCCGAAATAGCTGCTATAACTTCTATCGCTTAAGTATGATTGTTTTTTTTCCATTTTTCCAAACAAATCGTGGTACAAAGCTCAATAACACTATTGGCATAAATGTGATTTATGTGTAAAGTTTAAAATGGATTAAGAATTTAGTAACATATACTAAGTCCTTTTTTGTTATTTTTATACTACGTAAATATGTGTAGGTATATTTTTAAAAAAATTTCCTGCTTTTCAATTCATATTTATGGTCACCGTACATACATATATCACATGTTTTGTGTCGGCCGCTGTCCGAGAGCTGTAATAATCCTAACGCCAATCTATTTATTGGCCGTCTTTAGGCGTAAAGGTCCATGCTTTATCGTATATAATTATATCGTGCTTATTTTTTATATTTGGCATCTCATTCATTCAGTCTCTGCTTCACTCTCTGCTATCACACTCCATATGTTACGGCCCTTTACCTCCCATAAAACTTGCTAGCCAAGTTGGTAATTTATTTAATGCCGTTCGGCTGTGCACAATTCGAAATATCTATTAGAGAACCATATTGTCAGCAAACATACATACATATGCATATACCTATGTGTACATATAGATATGTATGTAAATAGTTACAGATATTCCTGCACAGTAAAAAATCATAGTTTACTTTTAATTCCAGTGAGTATTTAATTTAAAGATTTTTTGAATTAAATTAGATTTTTAATACCAAAAAGTTTTATTTTTAAACTATGAAATATTCTTGCAATTTCATTAAATCCAAAATGGTTTAAAAACAAAACCTTAATCAGTGTTGAACGCTTTGTTTTCAAAATATTGATTCTTTTTAGTTTTAATTTAAGGCACAAAAGGCATTAGAATGCTCTCTCTAATGTTTTAAGTATTTTTGGTTAAAAACAAAACCAAAAAAAGTATTAAGAAGGTTCTCTCACTCTGAATGATATTTAATGTACTCCCAACTTTAGTATTTTTGGTTTTAAAACAAAACCCAAAAAGTATTAAGAAGGTTCTCTCACTCTGAATTATATTTAATGTACTCCCAACTTTAGTATTTTTGGTTTTAAAACAAAACCAGAAAAGTATTAAGAAGGTTCTCTCACTCTGAATTATGTTTAATGTACTCCCAACTTAAGTATTTTTGGTTTTAAAACAAAACCAGAAAAATACTAAGAAGTTTTCTCACTCTCAATCAGTATCACGTGTTCCACTTTTGGAGAAGCGTCATAATGTTTCTGAAAGTTAAATACCACGAGGTAGTGCATTTAATAAAAATAAGAAATCCTGAAAATGAGGAATTCTCGACGAATGAAACAATTATATCAAGTAAGTAATCTAAAAAATTACTCAAGTTTTATGAAAGATAATTGTATTTCTTTTCAGTTGTGAAACAATTAAAGATCAATCCCGACTGTGCAATAACGTTGCGAGACCGCGACGGAGCTGAAATTTTCGTGGATTATTTCCAGGAAATTCTTTATCAATAAAAAGGCTGTAGCTGTTTTTTGTTGGAAATAAATGAAAATTCGACAAAAGAACAATCATCCCAATCATCAGTGGTGTTAAGCTTAAATCACGAGGTTAGTGTTGCACACTGAAAGTGGAAGACTTGTTGTAATGAATAAATTTGAACAGGCGCTGGAAAACTACATAAAAAGCGGAGATTTCTCTGGCATTCTTGAGGAATACAAAAAAACAACACTTTAAGTGATAGTTCCCGCCGCTCGTTAGTGCGCGAGTCTACTAACTTTTTACGCCAACATTGTGGAAATCACCCGAAGCGTGGGGAAAAAAGTTGCACTAGCTGAATCAATAATATGTATTTTTCCAGCTTTTAAGATTGCTAATAGCAAATTTGGGGGAATTGTAAGTATGCATTTTGAACTCTTAATACATTTACATACCAACGATCTTAACGAAACTCAAAAATAATTTCAGGATTTGTTCTACAATCCAGAGAACAATTGCCGGCTATTTAGCTGCAAAGTTAAAAAACATAAACACCAAGCTTACGAAACTCGACAGCGGTGGAAAAAAAAAACGTAAACTATCTGAGGTCGACAAGGAAAGCGATGATGAAGCGGTAATTTCTGTAGAAGATCTCACTTTTTTCAAAACTGCATTGTTGCAGACGAACTGCAACTGGTTCAACAGAAATTTCAGGAAACGTTAAAAGCAAGACAAAAGTTTATCGCAACTGAATCTAATGTTTTGGAACATTTCCCAATATTTTTATATGATTCGTCATTGGTAGTGTATACACAATAATACTACGTATATAGTGTATAAAAAAAGAAACAATAATTTTTTTGTAGATTGATTTTGATTTTAATCTTCGGTATGGAGAGGCGATTTCGAACAGTCTTTTAGAAAACTGGGAAAAATATGAAAGCTGTGTGGAGAAAATTTTAATTGATGCCGCTGGCGGACCTAGTCTGGGAAACTGTACTGATTGGGCCTCTGAAGTGCTACCTTATTTGATGCTTTTAAAGCTGCTGCCATCTACTGCCAGTGGACGCGCCCAAAAGAAAGTAAACTTTCAAAAATCTGTCGATAGTTTTCTTTCCTTTGAAAACGTAATTTACTATAAAATGTTTATTCTTAATCAACACAAATAACACAATTTTTTCTTTGTAGCTCAACACCCCTATCGCAGAATATGCAGCTGAGACTAGTCAGCCCACCATCGTTGCAGTTGGACAAGACAGATGCCACAATTTGTCAGTATTTTATAACCATCGATGGCAAGAAGGTAAATGTTCCCATCAATTATAAATTCAGCCAAGTATTCGACCTGTATTTTAAAGCATTTTATGTATTTAATATACAATTTGATGTAACTTAAGGTACTTAATAGAAAAACATCCTGAGATAAGAGAGAATTTATTTAAGGAAAACTGTATTACTTTTCGGGGTGAATTGACCGATGACTTAAAACAATATTCAACAAAATTTAGAAGAGGAAAACAATGTAGAAAGACAAACTTTTATGTCCCACCAATCGCAAAGCCATTAGGGGGTCATTGGGCTGTTAGAAAAAAAAAGAAAACTTTGTATCCTACAAAGCATTTCGTTCAATCCACATTTCAATATGTTCCTATCCTTAAGACACTAACAACTTTATTTCAAAACAAATCTTTCAAAAAGCTATATTTTAGTATTTTGCAGAGTAAATATAATAAATAGCAAGTACACTCTAAAAAGAGCATGTACTCAAGTAGCACATTGGTGTATAACTTGGTGTAAATTAGTGAATTTCGGTACAATTAATCATATTTATACCACAATTCATAAATGTACACCAATTTATACACCAGTGTGCTACTTGAGTAAAACTACTACTGAAAAGTATCTATTTTTCAACAAGCATCTGTATAAATATGCGTATAAGATGTTCAGTATTTGATTTTGAACTTGAGATCTTTAAAATATACACATAAATACACACACATATGTAGAATGTTTAAAATTGCAAAAATTTTCAAACTAAAAATACATTTCCTACTAATAACAAACATTACTTTATTTTAAACATTTTATGTGTAAAAGTAAACAGGCAATTTTATTACGCTGCTTGCACATTTGCATACATTAAAAGAGGAAACTGGTTACCTATCTCAATAAGCGAAATAAACAAAGTTTTTTAGAGTGTATTTAAAGTCTTTTCAGTAAAATTCATAAAAGTTTCCTTAAATAAATCAAATTTAGTTTTTTAAACTACATTGAAATCTTCTTTCTTTTTAAATTAACAAATGAAAATATGTGATATGAAAGAGATTACTACAGAAAGAGTATAATTTACTTTACATATATCGTCGTTTAAAGTACAAAACCGCGTATCGTCATTCTGCAAAACCGCGTAACTGACATTTGCTGCCAAAAATTGGATTTGCTCACACAAGCTCTTGGTTTCGTCCTGAAATATACTAGCCAGAAATGCGATTGCTTTATAAAAAAGAGAACCATATTGAAATATAAGTGTTTTTACTCTCGGTTTTGCATTATCTTGATACGCGGTTTTATATTTTGTTGCGGTTTTGTACTTTAAACGACGATATGTATGTATTATATTAAGATCTTGCTTAAAGCATCCTTTTAAGCTAATTAAAGCAATTGCGCTTATACCTATTTTGGTGAGATCTCTTCATATGTTCATTGCTTCGTTCACAAAAAATAAAATGCTTTAATTTCACGCTTAAGTAGCGATTCTTTATACGTTTAGAGAACGTAATGCTTTCTACCATCTTTAATGAAAATCGATTTTTGAACGAAAAAAACTTTATAGGAAATATAAAATTTTGGCCTATTTAAAAAAGTATCCACTTTTATACTGACCGGAAAAAATAAATATCCCACAAAAATTGGTCTAAAAATGTATCCAATTGGATCTATTTAGATCCAAACGGCATCCCTGATTTTGATAACGACATCCCGAAAATCCCGGGATCATAAAAAGCTGAAAAATTAACATCTCTAGTGGTGGCTGATAAGCGACCGTACCTGTTAAAGTTAAAACTGGGATGCTTGCGTTATTTTATAAAAAGTTTAGCCGAACCCTCAAACAACGAACTGTATTGAGGGGAAATTGGGCTAGTTTATATATATAATTGGCGGGAAATCGTGATGCGGCAGACTATATGTGCATATTCGCATGCGTTCCCATATATGTGTAAGTATGTACACTTCCGTGTTAGGGTGGCTCATCTTTTTTAAAGTTTGGTTTAGACTAGTGGCCTAAACAACATCTTATTGTATATTAGTAAATACTTACTCTTATTAGACTGCTCAAAACTTTGTCAGACGTTGGCCTGGCGCCAAAAACGAAGTGAGAATTGATAGTGTCAAATATAAACGTCAAGTGAAAAGAATCGCCATGTACAGTTGCAATTTCTTTGTAGAACTTAGTAAAATTTGGACTTGTAAACACAAGTATAAAGACCCCTCTTTGTTGTATATGAATAAATTCCGTTTGTCCATAATTTTTTTCTTATAGCGTGGTAATTTGATCAGCAGCCGTGCAGGAAGTGACAGACCTGCGACAACACGTCCATCTACTGCTGTCCGCGGCATTGGTTACGTACCTAATTCAACAGGATCGGCCGGACAACGTTTTGATCAACTATTTTCAGAAAAGGCTAAACAGCAGGCACTGTCATCTGCGAACGCAAATTGGGATGCAGAAAAGGAAGTCAAGTAAGCATAATATGGAGTTAATTAAAAGCCAGGGCATTTCAATGAATGATGAATGTTCTGATAGCCCTCAAATAAAGTTTAAAACTCTAGAGATGAAAATCGTGAAGCTGCTCGAGCAATCTATTCAATTGTCAGCACGAACGTCCACAATAAATTCAGCGATAAATTCCAATGTCAAAACGGGTTCCACAGAATTAAAGACAGCTTTAACAGACGCGCTTAACAAGTCCAAGGAAGCGTTTTCGCTGGACCGCACATTGCATCAATTTCGAGCTCAATATGGAGAAAATATATACCACAATTTTGATTTAACCTACGCAGTAAGTTTAAGCAAATTCAATTATTTCGTTGTTTGTACGGTTATTTCAAATTATGTTATGTAACGGTATTTTCGATGTCGGGCGAAGTGGCATGCAGGCATGCTAGCGTACCCTGGCCTGACTCTTCGGTGGGAGGGTCATATGCACCTGCCTAACTAAAAAGAGAAGAGAAGAGAAGAAGAAGAACCAGCCAGGTGGAGTCTCCCAACCACTTCACCTGGTGATGCCCCCTATGCCTGACTAAAGTCCGTCCGTCAACAATCAGTTGTGTAGTTCGCCGGGTCTGCTAGCGTATGCCTAGGGTGAAGCAAAATCTATCTACGTACCTACCTTTAAGCAAATTGGACCATAAATACGATTTTTTCAAATAGATCGGTCTCTGGTCCAATTGCCAGAAAAAAGGATCCTATATGCTAATGTAGGCAAAAAGCCACCTACGCACCAACTTTTAAGCAAATCGGACCATAGTACGATTTTTTCGAATAGATCGGTACAAGTTCGTTGCTGAAAGCTATTTATATACAAAATTTCATGAAAATCGGACCAGCCGTTCGCGAGATTACCTATTACAAGAAAAGGGACTTATCTATATATAACACTATGCAACAGTCAAAATCGGGATGGGATGAAACCAACGGGAAATGTTATATCGGTCAAAAACAAGTTATACGTGGCCCGGCGTTTCGCTGGGTCACGTCTAGGAATCGAGATATATCGATTTGAAGTTAGTAACTACATATAGGGGAAATTGTCACATTTTGTGGTCTTTTTTTTGACATAACTCGAGAACCATTAGTCCGATTTGGCTCAAACAAATTAAAAAAAATTAAAAATTACAATTCCTTTAATCTGTTCATATAACGTTTTTCTATATAATCAACAGTTTTGCCGGTAAAAATAAATGTATGAAGAAAAAAAATATTTTTTGCCTAAAATATTAAATTTTTTTATTTTTTAAATTCATAAAAAATCCAAAACGGAAAAAAGGCAAGTCGTATTACTTTCACGCAAAGTCACATAACCTTTAAGCAAAATGAGACATAGATCAAGAAAATCGATGGACGCGTTTCGCTTTTATTCAAAATTCCCTTGTCCCTTCTCCAATCTTCACCAAACTCGGTACGAACATTGGTGAAAAAAAATGTTTGAAATCAGACACGAACCACGCCCACCGCCCATATAACGGTAATTTACAGAAATAGGAAGACTGCGATAAATTAGTAACTATTTAAGCTAATTTACTCAAAATCGATATAAACAATGACCTCTCAGCAAACAATTCTGCTTAGGGAAATTTTTGGGGAAATGGGCGTGGCACCGCCCACTTACGCGTACATATGTGTGTCTCGGTAACCGGTTTATCAATTTCTACCAAACTCGATACATTTATCAATCTTGGCCCAAAAAATCGATATATTGAACATTTTTGAAATCGGACTAAAATTACCGCCACCTACCATATAACGGTAAATTTCAGAAATACGAAAATTCCGATATTTCAATAACTAAACACGCCAACTTACAACAATCTCTTATCAAGACACAATTTTATTGATGTATGTGAAATGGGCGTGGCGCCCGTGGTTGACACGAACTCGTAAAGAAATTTCTGTACGAAAAATAAAGAAAATTCTGGAAAAATTCTGAAAGATATTCTTCACATAGCAGCATTATTTTCATTGCTTCACAGAATTTCTTCCGAAATTTCGTAAAGAATGGAAGTGTGCGTAATTTATTTCATTTTAGAAAATTCGGCAAAAAATAGAATTAAATCTTAACGAATTCTTTAAAATTTCTTTACAATGCAGAATACTCTGAAAAAATGGTTTGCAGGGTGTACACGATAACTCGAACAAAAATTGTGTACGTGAGTTACACATTAATCAAGGGAAGTTAGTAGTGAAAACGGGGGAAATCGGATCAAAATCACTCTCAATTATCATATAACGATATTTCTTGAAAAAATGCAAAAACTTCTACATTTCTGTAAATACTGGACACAAATTGTTGAAAATTGGTATATGAACCAAGATTGCTACCAAAAATAACAGCACAATCTCTCTTATAATGAAATACTGTTAGTATTAGTATTTACCAAAGCCCTTCAAATTCGGTAGAACTTAATTTGAATTTTTTTAAATCGGGCGCAGCAACGCCCGCCTCACATATTTTTCAAGTAAAACTCCAGCTAATTCGCTTCTAACTGGTATATAAATAGTATTTTAGGAAAAATCAAATATAAACGCCTAGGAAAATTGGCGTTGTCACAAATACGTATTATAAAATGTATCATGCTTGATACGTGTATTGTTTTTTGGCTTCGTTATAAAATAGGCGTAAAATTTTTGAAATCGGATAAAAAACGCGAGCTCTTTGTTATAAGGGTATTTTCAGAAAGTGATAATAGCCCTATACATACATATGCATTTAAGTGCAGCCAAAGCCAAATCTCTAAAATATTATGTACATATGATCAATCGTTCAATGACGTTGACTTAAATGTCTCACTTAAAATTATGTTTGAATATGTTTAATGCACATACATACATCTCGAAAATCCCGGGATTCTTGGCAAGTAAACCCGGGATTTTCGGGATTTGTAATTTGCACTGATGGCAATAATAGAAAATCCTTTTCTTGACCAGTATTGGCCATATTTCTTTTTTATTTAATAATCAATATTTTTTTATAAATGTCTCGCTCATTGTACATATAACACCGCGCGATCGTAAATTTTAAACACATATATCAAAATATTCGCGAAACCATGGGCCAAATATAGTAAAATTGCGTTTTTAGTTTTTCACTCTGACGTCAGTAATTCAAAAATGATTTAAAAATTCAGAGAAATGTGCTTAGAGAAGAAGTATGGGTATAAAATAAATGAGGAAATCCTATAGAATTTAAACATATTCAAGTTTTTGGCGCAGAAGGGCTGGTAAATATTGAAAATGTGATTTTAATATTTATTCTTGAAATTTCGCAATATCCTTCTAACTTGGTCAGCTTAAAAATTATCTATTCGTCCTGGTGAATCCAAAGAATTTAAATACTAAAGAAATTTCATATTGCATTTGTTACCCATATTTTTATTCTGTATTGCATTCAATTTTTTTTACTTTTATTTGGATTTGCTTTTTGTTTTCGCTCAATTTAGTTTTTATAATTTTTCAAAACAACAGGAACAACGTTCGAAAGTAGGTGAGCCATACAAATTTTGAATTTATTTACAAGCAAATGCTTTTTTTCCGGCTTTTGCAAATTGAATAAGTTCTCTGTAAAATGGTTTGTTAAAAAAAAATGCGTAAACATACTTGTATGGTATATGGGGTATGGAAAAAGGGATATTTCCAACAGTAAACGTTTTAGTGTGGGTAAGAATGATATTTTTCAAATAAGGCAGATCGGAATATGCGCTCTCTGGGAAGACAATACCTGTAATTATTGTGCCATGGTTTCAAACCCATTTATTTATTTCATGGTAGGAGAGCTTCTCAAACAATATAGAAGCAATTTTTTCGAATCAAGTTGTTGAAAAGTAATGAATATCTTAATCCTGGGATTGTGACAACGCCATCCCGAAAATCTCGGGATCGGAAAAAGCCGAAAAATTAACATCCCTAATACATACATATGTTCAATATATCTGTGTTCATATGGAAAAGTAGCTTATGTCGAAAGGCTGGCTTTAGTATAATGCGGCATTCCCTTTACTCTTTAAACGGCAAGGAATTTTTTGATGAGACTTAATAAGAATATTGACTTGCTAGTATCGGAACTAGTTCTTGCACGTTTATTTGCCAAAAGTTCTACAACAGCTCAGCGCCAGTGAGTCATTCGCAATCGTATACTGCGAATGCCGATTTATACTAAAGCCAGCCTTTCGACATAAGCTACTTTTCGATACGAACACAGATATATTATGAGGCGCATAATGTATATGTACAAATGTATAATCATTTTTTTCACCTTTCACAACCGAGTGCTGTTACTTTTTTGCGCGTTTTCAAATTTATTTGAAATGCCTCATTATTATTTTACTCACTTATCAGGTAGTTATTGGTTTTCCAGCAGCAGTCTGTGTTTTTTACCTACTCCAACCTACTCGAATTTAAGTATAAAAGGATATCTGAAGCATTTAAAAGATTTTTAGTATTGATAGTACACTTACAGCCTCATCATGTATCTCAAGCGATAGGGGACACGAACGACTCGTCTGCAGGCGAATTCGTCTCCGCTTACAATTTTGTAAGTCGAACGATCGCCTTCATGTAGACTTTACGTCGATTACGTTGTATTCGTATAGAACAGCGTTGCTAAATGAAATATTAAGGGATTTTTTATATATTCCCTTTAGAATTTTATTATTTTTAATTTATTTGGTACTATTTATAGAAAATGGGCATCACCGTCATGTGTTATTTACTATTTATGCCATCCATTTAAGAGATTTTTTGTGTAGCTACTGGTGGAATTAGTGGGCTCTGGAGTGGCGAGTAGTGCGTCAATGAACGTTGGGATGATACCGAATAGGGGTAGCCCCTTGAATTGTGTATCGTTGCTGTACGTACAAAAACTAGTGCTGGCATGTCAGTCGCTGACAAATTACACTGTGGAACAAATTCAGGTTAGCAAAAGTTAGGTCGATTCTGAGAGTGAGGGGTGAAAATAGAGGCTAAATTAGAAGACCCGTATCGCGGCGTTTGTTTATGTTAGTTCGATTTTTTTTTTAATCGACCTTCGAACTTTACAGTCAAATGCCGATTTTCAGCATATTGTTTATATGGTTTTTTGGCTATAACTCGTCGACTAATTGATATTTTTTCAATCTGTTAAAGCCAAATTATTGCTAGAGACTTGTTCAACAATTAAAATTTAAAAAAAAATTGATTTAGAAAATTTTTGTAGTGCTTATGAAGCAAAATGCTGGAATTTATTTTTCATGCTTTTTGAACATATTTTCCACAAAACTAAGTATTTTTTGCTTTTTGTTTGATCTA